AACATTATAATTTAGGACATAATAATATTTATCTCATTCTTATACCCCACAAAGAATTGATTGCTATATACTATTATAAAGTAGTAATAAGTTTATCATAATAGTAACTAAACTTATATCCGGATATAGGTGCGGTAGTTTTGGTGATATGCAAAATCTGTGAAATTCACTTATAAGTGCATGCACTTATAAGCGGGGTAATACGGTACTAATAACGCTATAATAATTACAATTAGTTACAGTAAGTCCCATGGTAATAGTTTGATTTTAACCATAAAGAACTTATATACATTTTCAATTATACAAAATGTATTATATTTAAGAATACTCAGAATCTAATACTCAGACACTTTAAAAATTAATCAAATTGATAATTAAAACGATGTTAAACATTATAATTTAGGACATAATAATATTTATCTCATTCTTATACCCCACAAAGAATTGATTGCTATATACTATTATAAAGTAGTAATAAGTTTATCATAATAGTAACTAAACTTATATCCGCATACTATTTTGTAAAATGTAATCTAAAAATGTGCACTTAAGGTGTAATCAATTGTTTTGTAATAATTTTAGTAAATGATGGGAAAATACTTGTTTAAAACAACTTTTACTGCTATGAGATATAAAGTAATTGCTTTACAGTAATTTTAATTTTATTAGTATGGTAGTAATTTTTCATATTAACTAATACTTTACATTAAGCATTTCATTAAATTTCCAAGCCAATTACAACAATTACAAAATTAATTAAACTAAATTGTTTAAAATAAAATGCTTTAATTCATATCATATTGAAAAACAAGCTTTTAAATAATTTTAAATTGTATTACCAAACAAACATTATTTTAATTGTTTACTTAATTTTAGTTTTTAATTAAATTGCACTTGTTTAATTGTGGGTCCAATTGACAACCCATTGGTCGCCACTCTTTTTGGTGTTTAGATTGAGTTGAATGCGAATTCTTGTGGAGCCGTCGTCTCTATCGATGAGAGCACTGACGGGTTGGCCATCGAGTGTTGCCAAAACTTCAGTCCCTTTTGTGCCGTAAACTCGTATTTCCTCTACTTTTGGTGCATTCGTATAGTTATTGTGTTTGGCTTTCAATACGAGTGAAGAGTTGGACAACAATTCAAACGAATAGTAATTATAGTTTCCGTTTTCAATCGTATCGATAGACTCTCCGTCGTCCCAATACAGGTCACCCAAACCCTCGGACTTGACGTCCGGCAATACAACCAAATTAATGGCCGATTGTCTGACAGTATTTGTGTTGATGTGAACCGAAGAGACACTCATCGGTATAATAGATCCGCCCCTGAGATGGACGGGCGGCGGATCCGTTGGACTCTTTTCTTTAATTGTTATTTTTCCCGTTTGTTTTACTTTTACTATTTGTGGCAAAATTTCGTACCAAATGTCATTTGGAAGATATGCTGAAACTTCGGTTTGTTTCTTAAAAAATTAAAGATCGAAAGTAGTATTTAATACAATCTCTAATAGTTATCTCAAATACCTCGTAAAGAAAGGGAGAGATCAGTACAGAGCGACCCCACATAAACTGCTCCTGTATTTCATAAGTGTTAGTATCGGTCGGGAATTCATGGACCAGAGGTCGGGCCACTGTTTGTCCCATTGTATGACTTCTATAGAAAAGCGTATATAAATACGGCAATAGAGTGTACCGTAGATTCAGAGCATTAATAGCAGCTTTGGTCACTTCCGGGTGACCCTTCTCTACCCAAACAGCCGGGTCCTGATCTGATGGATGGATTTCGTTGTGATTACGGCTAAATGGATAGAAAGCTCCCATTTGTAGCCAACGGCGACACAACTCGGGTGTTGTCTCGTGAAAGAAGCCACAAATATCTGCCCCAACCTATCAATTGAGTTAAACTATTAACAGATATTATAAAACAACAAAATAATTACAAAACTAATGCCAAATAAGTTAAACTCCAAAACACCGATAATTGAGTCCCGCATTTGAGACCATTCGGCGATATTGTCGCCCAACCAGTGGGCCGTATATCTGCCCGAAGAAACGTACGTCGACCGCGAGAGTACGTAACCTCTCTTTCCCGTTATTTCGCGAACAGTTCTGTCGGTTAATAATAATAGAAAATAAATAATATATGAGTACATGAATGGTATAATTGTTGTCATACTTTTGTGTTGCGATACTTTCGGTGAGACCGTAGAGGGAGTGGACATCGGAGTGACTGTATTCGCCGTTCTCTCCCTGAATACTACACATACATATCGTGCCATCAGATAGTTTGGTGTAGTTTTCGTACGCGTAGATTGATTCTGGTTAGTTTTGTTTAATTAATTATTTATTGGTTAGATGTATTATTTAATATCGTGGTCATTATACTAACGTATTCTTGCGGGCGGATTATCCAACTTATTGCGCGGACAGTAATCTCTGGACGTGCCGTCAAAAGCAAAATCGTACGGTTCGTTCATATCCTATGACAACATTTATTATTTACTGAAATAATTTTAAATATATGCAAACTTACGATCCAAATGGAGTCAAATTTTAAATCTAAGTCTTTATACGTGTATTGAATCCATTTTGTCCACCATTTATGAGTTGCGGGTTTAAAAAAGTCGGGAAAAGCAACAGGGCCGTCGGGCCAGACTTTACCATAAAGCACTGATTTGTCAGTTCTAACATCAGGCGGATTGTGTTGTTCCGATGTATTGACATATTTTGGCCATTTTATGTACACATCGTTATCATAACCGTCCGAAAAAGCATTATATGTGCTGTCATTGCCCAGAATGGCCGGCGACAGCATTAGAGTGGTGTGAATGTTGTGATCATTTTTCAGCCATGATATCAGTTGTGGTAAACCTTTAAAGTTTTCCTTATCGTATGTAAAGTCTTGAAATCTATTCATATAATCGATGTCCAGATACGTTACGTCCTATCAAATCAAGATTGTTTTAGTTAATTAATTTACTGTATTTGTAATAAGTATTACAAACCAATGGGACTTTTGCCACGATATTCCTCTCGAGTGTATTCTTCACTTGTTCTGTGTTTTTGAATCCATAGCGCGTTATCTGAAAGCCGAGTGACCAGAAAGGGGGTAGAAATTGACGTCCAATGAGTGAAGTGTATAATTGAATGACTTCTTCGGGATTCTCGCCGACAAACACGAAGAAGTCTAAGACTCCGCCCAATGTTTTGAGTGAAAGCGCCGGCTCTGGCATTAGTGTGTACTCTATGTTCACATTAATTATTGGGAATTATATGAATAATTAAGAGTTAACCAAAAATATAATTCATTACAAACCCATAGCATTACTGTTGAGAAACAGAATTCCGTGGGATTTGCCGTCACTCTCCAGACCCGTATAGAAGGGATGAACGCCATAGAGATTAATAACACCCTATTTTGGTTCAGTTATTAATGCATTTTATTTATTTATAATTAAAAGTTAACTATATTGTATTAGTAACTAATATATGGTCACTTACATCGTCGGGTCCCTCTCCTCTTGAGAATAGATTCCATGTCTTGTAATTAATATTATGTTTGAGTGAATGGTGTGTATTCTCGCCGAAGCCATAGATATGTTTTGTCGGCAAATATGTGGAGATGTGTAATAATTGGTCACTGAATATAAGGCCACCGATAGAAGTATCAAACCTGTGATAAATAACAACATTATGTAAAATTTATTTGCAATTATTATCGCTTAATATATGACATACAGACGCGCTTTTGTATCTTTTCTTACGACAGCAAAATTGAAATCCGTTTTGTTATCATTTAATTCAACTGAATATTTGACTAATTTATTATTAAACACATGTTTTTGTTTCAATAACGGGAATGTGTTTTGAAGGGGAAATTCATATCTTTTTACTTTGGGATCAAATATTTTAAATCTCAATATATTTTCGGTCAAATAGTCGACTTTAAGCCGCAATTTGTCGATTTGTTGCATAGATTTCAATAGAGATTTAGCCGTATCTTTGAGTTGGAGATCGATCTCAAAACCCTTTTCGCTCTCAACTTTCTTTCCAAACAAATTATAGCCTATTTTATCGGTATTTATATAACATTGCGGACTATCGATGAGCTCCGGATCGTTATCCCAATTACAGCCCCTTTTCTCGCACTCTGTTTTACTGAACTCAAAGTCATCTATAATTTCATGTAAATTAAATTGATTTAATTGTTTTTATACTTATGTGTCTTTTGACTCAAAGATTTAGTAAAATAATTTGTTACTTACTTTCGAGATAACAATCCAATCGTTTATTTAAATCATTGCTTTCTATTGAATAGATTGCAGCAAATAATAAAAATACAACTTTAATTGTATTTAACATTATGTAAAGAACTGTATTTAACTATTTACTAAAATAAAGTTTTAGTAATAAAAGTGAGACTTTATAAAACAATGTCAAGAAGTAATTATTGATTATCTAATCGCAAATTAATAGATTAATTATAAATTATAATAGTTTGACAACAATTATCAAATGGATACATACGAGTGTTTGTGTTAGTAATGAATGGGAAATGACAAAGATGCTAAATTTCTATACTTTATGCCCCACTCAATGATTTTGATAATTAGTTTATGATTACTAACTCTACTCTTCTATTAATTAATAAGGATATGTTTAATTGATTGTTTATTAACTTACATTACATTAGATAAGTGTTGCACTTTTAACGTACAGTTTTAGTGTACCGTAAGTCTATCGTAAGAATACCGGTACTTATTATTTTATTTCTTACCAAATGTTATTCTATTATTGCAAATGAAATTATTTTTTATTAAATAAACTAGTCGTCATTATTAGATAATAATGGTTAGTTAATTATTATCGCAAAAATACAATAGAATGCGATTAATGCATTAATTAGATAGATTAAAAGTATGCTTACTGTAACTATTTCTATATCCAATATCAATTTGGTGAATTAGTAATTAGATCCGGACAAATTTATTCGTATGCCAATCTTTCTAAATAATTATATCAATTACAGATTTGTGTAATTAATTTATACAATTAATTAAAAAGTATTAAAAGTGTATAATTTTTAATGGGTTTTAATATAATGTGCAGTAATATAATTTACGTAAATGATTTGTAAAAAAAACATAATTAAATTCTGTTGAAAATATAAAAATATTGATATTTGAATTGATAGTTTATTTTAGCCTACGTGATTTTATAATTAATTTTCTAAAAATTAAATTATAATTTCATAAAAAATATTTAAATTATATGTAATTATTATTATTATTATGCATTAACTGCTGAGTTATAAAAAGTCCTTCGGTTTTGTATACAAATGCATATCTATTGAGGAAATCATTGTCTAATCCGCCAAAAACTAAAGTGAATTCACATTTATTTTATTGTTATATTTTGTTGGACAGGGATTTACTGCAAAAGGATTTCCAGTAAAACTATTTGTATGTTTTATTGTTAAAAGTATTTATAACTTGTATATAAATTGGAGACTATCTTATAGTTAATTAAATTAATATTTTTTGTTGCTCAACAAAAGTATTTTAAAGCATATTGATAATCGAGCAAAATGAATAAACTATTATATACTTCAACATTGATTCTGTTAATTATAGCGATTAATTTCAACAATGATTGCAACGCAAACCCGACTAAATTGCTAAACAAACGATCGCTTGTATTCAAAGGTATATCTATTCGCTATAATTATTGCAAAATATTTATTTAATTAGAAGATTAAACTATTTTTTAGAATAACTTGATAAATTATATACATTTTTAATACAGCATATGATTATATTTGGGAGCAATTTGTAATCGTTCACATGATTTGTTGTCCTATTTATAGAGTTCGCTAAATTAACACAAGACCGGGAGGTCGAGGACCAAACTGAAGGGGGCAATACTTATGGGGGCGATAGTGATAAAGGGGGCGATTACGAGGCCGTCACTTACGGCAGCCGCACTCACGGAGGCGGCTCTTATGGGGGCGACAGTCCCGCAGAGAGCTCTCAAAAAACGGTTGTATACAAGAGTGGGAGTTACGGGAGCGGCGGTCACGGGGGCGGCTCTTATGGCGGCGGCAATGGTATAGTTGGAGGGCTGGGTTATTTGAAGGGCTGTTACTCTATATCGAAAACGGCCACCAATTTTTGGTGTCACGTTAACTGTTATAATGTTAAAAGTTATTGTCCGCACAATTTCTGTAAATGTTTTTAGAAAAATCAACAAAAGTTTTTACATTAAATTAATTGGCGTTTTGTTTGAAAAATAATTTTTTCTTTGCATACAATAATGTGAATGTTTTTGATCAATGAATGAAATAATACTAAAAAATAAAAGTTTTTGTTATTTTACGTATCATTTAATAAATATTTATTATTCTTTGTCTTTCATTCAGTTATACTTTGATTAAGTATTAAATAATTCAATCATAAAAGCTGTTGACAATCATTTCTTATATTCAGCACATAATAAATATCATTGTATAAAACGTTTGTTCATTATATACGGTATAGTTTAACATAAATATATCTGTAATATGGATAACATATAAATTATAAATTAAAAAACAATAACATTATATATAAGGAGAGATATGCATATACTCTGTGTCCATATAAATATCACATTAAATATAATAGTTTTATGGGAATAATCGTTAAGCAAAACAACATTTAAAAAAAGATCACATTTTCTGATGAGAAATAACAATAATAATTATAAAACGGTTTCTTAAGATTATTCCCGATTTGTCTAATCGATGGTATAATTGATGTATTCCTCACACCAGGTGTCGACGCCCTGGTCTTTAGCACAGCATAAGGCAAACACGTATTCATTTCGGGATAATTTGGTACATCTTTCGCACATTTGCTGATATTCTGCATCTTTGATACACTTATTGTCTTCGGTGTTAAAATCAGTTGAACGCAAATAACTGACAAATCGCTGTCCGATTGGCGACGATTGGCTCCGGACTGCCATTTGGATCACAATTAGGGTTATAATGACTACAATCTGTAAGACAATTGAATAAATTAATTAAATAATTATATTGTTTTTGAATGAAAATAAAGACTATCAAAATATATGATCTCACCTCTGGTTTACAGAAATACATGTTTTTATAATATATTTATGAATTTTACTAATTTTTTAAATGAAGAAATTTTACAAAAACAACCTTTCAATTCAAATGAACGTAAAGTGATTTGCAAGTGAATTAAAAGTTAACAAATTTGTACTGAAAATTGTTATATCAAAACATTAAACGATTAAAATATTATGTCTTTAAATAGCACTGAAAGAAAGACGAAAGAAGTGATATTTTCATTCAGTTTGAAGCGTGAAGTAAATTAATAGAGAAATTTATATTTTACACAATATTTATACAAAACCTAATCATCAGATAAGGAGAGAGAGAGAGAGAGAGAGAGAGAGAGAAGTTGGTGTCTGTAATTTAGAAGTCATGTGATATGTGGTACAGAATCTCTATATTATTTCCACTTCAAACCAATAATCTGATCATATCTTCACATCTCCTTCTCTATCGACAAGCAAAACACAAAAACATTAGTCTTTTGCCTTAAAATCAACACATATTTTGTTGTCACACAAACTATAAATATATTTATGATTACAAATTGCGATTAAAACAACTTTATTCCGGCAAAAATGCTTATAACAGGTCTAATTTAGCCGCTTATGTAAGCATAAAATTCCCAGACATTTACGAGCCCTGGATTAAAACAACCAAATGTTTGACAAAGTATTTGTTTGAATCATTTAGTAATTTTATTTTGTCATTGTTGAATGTTCTATAAATATACTTTGGTTTTTATTATAATTAAGTGTAATGTATTTTAATAATTTTTCAATTTATTTATGAATTTAGCATGTACATTAAATACAGTGGATGTGCAATATTGGGCAATAGATATAATTTATCATTAAACAAAATTTAATTAAATGATTACATCTATAAATTCCATGAATGATAAAAATGAGTTCATAGGGTATAATGCAATGTTTCGTATGATTCACAGCCTCTGCAACCCATACCCCCATTATCTTGTTGTTAATTGTATAAAAAATTGTTTAAAATTTACATTTTAACCAATCTTTTATATTTTAAAATTTATTGCCAATTTGTATATAATTTTTTTTGTACGAAATTCCAGTGATATAAATGTTCAATAAATTAAATTTTAGATAACTATCAGATGTTTTACACATGTAGTGAATATTTAAGGAAATATTTTATTATTTTACAAATTATTTTAGTAATTAACTTTTGTAGGTATTAAACATTTTGGGTCACAATTAAGTTATAAGTTATATTTAAAGTTATAATAAAAACAAATAAACAATAATAAACATATTTAACGTTATTTAAAAAATATTTTCAAATTTTATATTGTAAAATTATATATATAACAAAATAGACTTTCTAGTGTGATAATTATGTAGAATGTGTGTTACGATATCGAGAAAAGGCTCATGGCTATATGATGACCCTGGATATCTATGGGATTATAGTTAACAGGTGTCTCAATAATACAGTATTACATATAAATAAAAATAAATAAGTATTTGATGAAAAACATGAAAATTTTGAATATATCTTATATTATTATGTGATATAAGAAGCTTAAAAATCAAAACAATTTATAAATTAGTGATTTATTGTGTAAAAAATTATATATATTTTTTGTAATATTTTTTTCAAATAAATTATTGAGAAATTGATTTATAATAAAAACAGGGGTTTTAAATGTAAAGTGCTTTTACGGATATTTTATTTCTTTAAAATATAATTAATTTTTATTTTTAATGAAAATTTTAAAGAATTGTTTTAAAATATACTAATTATATAATCTTCATATCGTTGTGTAAATATTCAAAATATTTAACAAATCTTTTATTATTTATAAATAGTATAATCTAAACATGTTTTTTATAACACCAGTCAAAACACATAATAAAATTCCTAATCCCTGGGTATCTCTTGTTTCAGACATAATACAATATACTTAACATAAAGTTGATGTAAAACCAATCAAATAATTGTAATAAAAATCAATAAAAATATTCTGTCATCAAATGTTTTTATTACCGATAGAATAATGCAATTTTAAATAACAATTATTTTTTTAAAAGATTTGTTTGCCAACTAAACTCTTTATCAAATAAATAACATTTTATTATTATTTATATTACATGTGATAATCAGATGTAGAGTAATCCAACGCCTGAAAGGGTTGTTGTATTTGACGATGGTAAACTATTTTTTGTGTCAAATATTGTCCACATGATCATCAAAAGTGCACAGATCGGTTTTTAACTCTTATTCCTCTACCCCTTTGTGATTAACAAAATTATATTAAAAAAATACTTATTTTGATTTGATTTCTATTTAAGGAAATGTGTTGTTAAGGGGACTAGAGATCAACCGTTTCCTTATTTTGTTTAACATAACAGTAATTATAAGTTATATAATTTATAACAAACATTTTGATAACAACACCCAAATTTCTGGCAAAAATATTATTGAGCAATTACATAATTTTTATTTATCCTCATCTAGTTTACATATTATAATAATAGTTTCTCTTAAATTTTTCATTTGTAAAACAATAGGTTTCTATTGTTTAACGCAATAATAATAATATTACATTTTTGGGTAAAAACTATCATTTTTTGTATAAAAACCCATTGATTGTAAATTTAATACAATTCTGGGGTCTAAACGACTAAAAATTGTCAAATAATTTATACTTTGAACTAATAAACTTTAGAAGTTACATTACTGTATAACCAAGATATAGTAAATTATACAATCACTGAATGGATGAATTGATGAAATCATTGAAAAATATAACGATAACAACCCTTTCCTCACAGTCTCTAATCTATGAACAAAAATAAATATCATAGACATTGTCTATAATTGGATATTACTGTACCCCTACTAAAAGCAAATTCACCCAAACACATTTGAGAGACTAAACTAGATGATATTTTCATTCATTGAACCACAAAACTTGTTATTCTCGCTCTTCATCAAAGATCTATTCAGCCTTTAATTACATAAATGTTATCTAATTTTAAATAATATTTTTCCATAAATATACAGATCTAATATGTTTTGTCATCAAAATATTATTGATTTTTCGCTATTGATTGCAATGTCTATAACCTTCTGGCGATGTTTTGGTTATGAAATCACTGGTCAACTGAGGTTGGGATGAGAATCCCATATAAAGGATCCTTTACTTAAAACAAGGATCCCGTGCTTTGGGTTAGACTTTTGAGTTTTTGCACTAATACTTATCATTTAATCACAAATTATTTAATCTAAAAATAAATACGAGTTAACGAAAGAATCATTTAATTTAGTTTTTTGTTTTTCAAAATAACACATTTTCCCAATTAAGCGACAAATAGACAGATTTTTAGCCATGAATTCAAGTCATGTTCGCTTTTAAAAAGTGATTTTTTATTTGATTAAACAAAAACAGTTTTCAAATGAGCAAAAACTACTATTATATATTAGATCAAAATAATGTACTTTACCCCTCGGACTGGAACATCGAGGTATAATTGCGGGTATTGTAGTGCCAGTGCTATTTTAGTTTAAAAAATCTAGTAAATGTACAAGTGTAGTTGCTTTTTGACCATAATCGCAGTCTCAATGTTTAGTGTCTATCAATGTTTTTTCGTAACCATAATATTAGATACATTTTTTATTCCCATATAATAGTCACTATAGTTACTATTTTTGCATTTTAAGCCTTTTTGGGGCAGTTTTTTGCTTAATTTTATTTATAGCCTTGACTTTAGATTATAAATTGTTGTAAAAATAATATATTTTAATGTTTAATAAACAAAAATCCAACACAAGATTCTTCCACTTTCGTTGAGCAAAAAATTTACATAAAATCTTATCATTAAATATACAGTATTTTATATTTTAAGTCTCTGTTTTATATTAATATTTCCTTATAATTGTATTGATTGATAGGATTTCTGTGAGTTAATTGAAAAACTGATTAATTTAGTAATTTTATATTAATATTTTATTAATATTTTATTAATTCATAATTTACTGATTTTATATTTTTATATAAGATTTCTAAAGTTATTTTGATAATAAATCTATGTTACACTCAAAAATATTCTTTGATTGTCTGGCTGTGATATCACACATTCTCTATTAGCATGCTCATTTTGATTAAATTTTAATTGAATTATTCTGTACTTATTATAAAGTACAATGTTGATACCATGTAATGTAACATGTTAATACATTAAATATAAATAAATATTTAATATCAATATAATTATATTTATGTTAAACAAACTGATATCAGGAATGGTTATTATTATAATTCGCTATTGGTAGTTTAATTATAAATTAAAATCTATTATTAAAAGTTGTCCCATGTTTAACAATTGAAAACAAAATGTGTTGTAAACGTTATACAGTAGATGTTGTCAATCAATGCATTTTATTTAAGACAAACAAACTTAATAATAATGTCAATACAAAATTTGTTTGCATTTGAAAATTATATTTAAGAAAATTGGCATTAAATAAGATATATCTCCACTCTATTTAATTGAGTACTAAATGTATATATAAGAAAATTCTGATAATATTTGTCTCTATAAGGCCTCCAATTATACATATTATATATAAGTTTGAAATTTTTATAGATAAGCTGTAAATATCAGGCAGTTAACTGTTTAATTGTTTGCAATGTTTGAGAAAAAGTGAGAGTATTTAAGAAATGGGAGAGAGAGAGACGTGTGTCTCTCTCGCACGGGTCGGTTACCGACCCCCTCAAACTCACCCCCACTCATATCTGTTTGATTTTAATTTATTAGTCCATAGATTAAAATGATTTCAATTAGAAAATTGTTAATAAATATGATATCGACAAAAGTTGGTGAAAACTAGTCTCGACTATGTTTTGTAAATAATGTTATTTTGATATTCTTTCCATGAATTGCAAAAAATAAAGAAATATTTGTTGTTTTAGTAAATCGGTGTATAAAATGTGAAACAAATATGTTTTGTTAGAATAGTTTTATATATTTCTATTGATATGATATTCATATGAATTTAATAATTATCTATTTTTCATTGAAAAATTTGTTTAAATAACTTTCACTATTTTCTTGTTATTATTTTTTATATTCATTTCTCATACTATATAATATTGGCATTCATTTCGTGATAAGTATGTGTTTTTCGCACACAAACAGAGGCTTTAAATGAAATATTAATGTAATAACAAAAATAAAAATAGATTTTGCAATCAATTTCACAATTATTTGATAACTAATATAATTTTGTAATAATAACACGATTTTATTTTTATAGATTCTATTCAATAAACAAAATAAATAAGTTTTATTTAAATAACAAAACTAAAAATAAATAAATTTCAAACAAATACTTTAAATAAATTTTAAATATGCAGGGGCAGTTTAATAGGTGATTTACTAATAGGTAGTTTAATAATTGATCATAGTTATAGTCATACAAATGTATCGTTATATATGCAAGAAAGCATTTAACAATGCCTCGTTTATAACAATTACATTTAAAAACTTTAAAATGTGCCTGATTGAGGTTCATTTCTAGCTTTGCTTTGCAAACCTTGTTTAATTTAATTAAAGTTAATAGAATTGTATAAAATGTAAAATATGTTTTAAACAACATTAATTAATATAAATTTTCAAACACTTAGTTAAACTTAAACATATATTGAAAAGAATATATTTATCATAACATACATTCATTGACAGAATATGTAAATTCTCTCTCTCTCTCCCCTCTCTCTCTCTCTCTCTATTTACTCATTTCCCTTACATAAGTTATGACAATTACTAAGAATGTATAAACACAAAATACAACTAATTATACAAAAATTAATACAATAATCAAAATGTTTGGATTTTATCAGCTTTTATTGCATATAACTCCAAAAAAAGTTGTAAAATTTGAATAAAAAATTAAAAATGAGTGAAAATAATAAGAGATAATTATTTGTAGAAATAATTGTCATTAATCAATGTTAGAGAGAATATTGTAATTGTTTTGTAAAATGTGTTGTTGTTTAAAGCAATCATAAAAGCATAATAAGACAAATATAATAAAAGTTATAATTGTTGTCAATTTTAATGTGCATTTTCATTGAATTTTGTGAGAAACATATTTATGATCACATTTGGACTCCAAATACATTTTGTATAAATTGGTGCAAAGAATAATTGGTATCTCATATTGCGGTCGAATTAATTCAAATGCGTTAATACAAGTGATCATAAATAAAGTTTCGGAACTCGTTGTCAGAAACGGTGAATATTTCTCATCCAAAATATTTGGCAAATCAATCAATAGTTTTTCCACAATTGAATCATTTGTTGCGTTAAATGTAAAGAAATGAGTCCAGAGATGAGGTGGAGTTATACCCGGCAAAGAAGTGGTGGAAGTAGTGGTGGTAGTAGTGGTGCCATCAGTGATAGCAATACTCTTCGGTGTATTAATTACTTGAGTGATTGCCGGAGAAATATGAGGCAATAAAGTGTGTGTTTTGATCACATTATGAATGGTTGAGTTAAATATAGTTTTGGCGGTATTAGAGGTGTTGTTTGTGAGAGTGATAACTGTGTGAACTGTTGTCCAAATATCTCCAGAGATATCTCTCTCTATAGTCGTAGTGGTGGTCGTTGTAGTCCTTTGGATCACATCTTTGCCTAAAACACACATTTTATGACAAACACATATTTTAAACATAAATTGAACAAAAAATAACGCTTTAAAAAATGTAATATAATGTTAAAATTGTTTCGATTATAAATAAAATACCGGTTTTATTATTAACGTCGGGAGTAGTGATGGAGAAGTTATTTGTATTTTTCAATATATTATCCAATGATTTGAATCCAATATTTGAGTTTCTTTTACCGTTGGTTTCATTGTTTTCAATCAAATTTAATGAATTATCTGTTTTAATAATAATGTCATATAAATAGCAAATATAGGTATTCTTAACCTCAGAATTTTGAGAACCAAACATAATATTTATATTTTAATACAAACCTATTTTTAAATGTTTGCCACAAATTATATGAATTATAATTAATAACAAAATTATGATTCTATTAAACATTTTATTTATTCTAAATTTATTTTGCTTTTAAATAATTCTTAAACACAATTGATGTCTAAATCAATAAAATAAAATATTCACAAAATAGTCAGCATTTCCTGATTTATCAAAATCCTATTATAATCCTAATCTCAATTGTAAATATTCAGTTTAATCGGTTATTTGCATACAATGTTTCTATAAATGCTTAAAAATAAACTTTCACTATTTTTGGTTATTTTTTAAATATTAATTTCCCATATAATATTTTTATACATTTCGGGATAGATTCAACACAAACAGACACTTTTATTGAAATATTAATTTGATTACAAAAATAAAATAAATTTTGAAATCTATTTTGCAATTATTTGATAACTAATATAATTTTGTAATAATAACATTATTTTTATAAATTCATTATTCAATAAGAAAGTTAATTAAAGTTTTAATTTAATAACACAACAAAAAATAAATAAATTTTAGACAAGTTAAATAAATTAATTAAAAATGTACAGGGGCAGTTTTATAGGGGATTTACCAATTGATCAAGGTTATTGTTATACAAACTTAACTACAGTTTGCATTTTGAGGCCAATCACACCTTTTAAGGCTATCGTCCCATTGAGTCCCTAACGCACAGTTCATTATAAATGCCTGACCACCGGCCGAACACTGTATAAATTGATTGCAATGACCCGCATATGTGTACAGACAGTCTGTGGGCCCATTGCAACCGTTTACTGGTGGCGGACAAGTATAGTGTATATTCTGAGGGTATATATTGGCCAGAGTTGGCACCGTATTAGTCGGCGATGAGTGCATGAGTGCCGCGTTTGATGCCTGAGTTGCGGATACATTGTTTGCCACAACACTTGAAGCCAATGACTCTTGAGTTGTGGTTATCATTGATGGCGAAGTGGTTGTCATTGTGTTGTTTACTGGCGAAGAGAATTGCGTTGATTTCAATTGTGTAGTTGCCGTAGAGAGTGAAATAACATCTGATCCCTGCGTTGATGTGTCCATCAGTGTTGAAGTCATTTTATTTGTCTGAGTATCAACTGATTCCTGAGTCGATGTCACTGTCGGTGTATTTATTACTGGCAAAGAAGTTGGTGTCAATCCTTTAGTTGTAGTCATTTTAAGTGTAGAAGTGCTCAAAGTATTGGCTGAAACTTTAGTTGTTGTTCCCAAAGATATAATTGTTGTTTTCTTTATCACTGGAGAAGAAGTTGTGGTCAACGACTCTACAGATGTCGGATCAATAGTAGAAGTAGAATCTGATCCCTGTGTTGATATCAATGCATTTATTAATGGCGATGAGGTTTGCATCGGTTCCTGAGTTGTATTCATAATAAGTGAAGTATTGATTGAATTATTAGCTGATATTTGTGCCGATGAAGAAGTAAATGTCACCAAAGCTATAGGTGTTGTTATCTTCGGTGGATCAGCGGTCGGAGTGGTATCTGATGCCAGAGTTGACGCGCCTATCATTTTAGAGGTGGTGATCATTATTGTTGTAGTCGTTGTACCCGTTGTTATGGGAGTTGTTGTCTTCATCTCTGGTGTTGTGACCACTGATACCGTTGTCGTAATATTTGATACCAAAGGATTTGATGTCGAAGTTGGGTCTTAAGTGTAAATTTTTTAATTTAATTAAAGCTAATTAAATAACAATATTATGACTTAAGTATTAATTACCATCTTCACGACACACTTCCAAGTTTAGTGGAATACTTAATAATGCGGTTATTTTAATGATTAAAATAGTAATTTTTAACAACATTTCATCCTTTCTAAAGACCTTTGTTTTAATTGCAAAACATTTTATGAATTGTTTCAATGAAAATGAAATGTATACTAAATCTAATGTTTAATTTAAACGCTGTAATGATTTGCCAAAAACAAATTCCAGAATATTTGTGAATTAGTAATTTATTGTATTGTAATAACAATTTGCTATTTAATTAATTATTTGTAGAATTTTATATTAGTTATCATTATATTACTTACAATATTATATTTTATATTAATATTACAATAACAAGTGTAATTAATAATTAGCTATTAATTATATTTACGGTTAAACCGTTTCTTCCCCCACAAATAAAAGCATTGTCATAATTTACGACGGGATGTGCAATGAAACAAATTAAATACTTAATTAATGATCATGCCTAATAATAACGCATAATTAGTTAATACAATTTAAGAAACCGTTTCTTCCCCCACAAATAAAAGCATTGTCATAATTTACGACGGGATGTGCAATGAAACAAATTAAATACTTAATTAATGATCATGCCTAATAATAACGCATAATTAGTTAATACAATTTAAGAGCAATTGGCATTTTGTGGATAATCGCAAATCTTGAGCACATCATCCCATTGTGTGCCGACCGGACAGTTCATTATAAACGCCTGTCCGCCGGCACTGCACGCGAAATACTTCGTGCAATCGTTGGGAAATCTATAGAGACAATCAGTGGGTCCGCGACACCCGTTCTTTGGCGGCGGACACTTGTAGCGCAGGTCCTGTGGGTACAGATTTCTGACTGTGCTCTGCATTATATTAGCCGAAAGGGTGGACGACATGACACCCGGAGGTGTCGATGAACTCACGGCTGTGGCAGCAGTTGTAACAGAAACAATGTCCGCCACTTTTGACGTAGCAGTTGTTGTCATTCGAGATGATGTCTGTGGTGTAGCCGTTGTTGCTTTTGTGATGACTTTTGTAGCGGTTGACCTAATGGTGGAAGTGATGGCCATTGCGGTAGTCGTGGACAATATAATGGCCGCAGCGCTCGACTCCTTTGTTATCTCTATTATAGGAGTTGTGGTCTGAATGTGTGCTAAAGCGGTGATCATAGGCTCTGTTGTGTTCATTGTTGTCGTTGGTGTTGAAGAACTGGAGGTTTTGTTTGATTGATTGATAGAAGTGGGCAAAGAAGTGGTGCTAAAAGTGGTCAATGGAGTCGTTAAAGAAATGATTGAAGAATTGGCCGAAGAGTTTGTCAAAGAATTTGTTGACGAAGTAATCGATGAATTGGTTGTCGAAGAGTTTGTCAAACTCGAGGAAACATCGGGTGATTCTGTAATGTTTAAGTTATTAATTATAAATTGTCTGAAAAGTTGGCTTATATTGCGATTGTTGAAAGCATTTGAGAGCAATTGAAACACACTTTGCTGTAAATTAAAATTATTTTGATCTAAAAGATATAATTAATTATCATTAAAAATCTAATAGAATTTTTAATTTAAAAGTTTACCACTTGTTTGACACGAATAGAAGTCCAATAATAAGAACATTTTAATAAAAATAATGATAATTTTGAGCAACATTTTTTGTAAGTAAGAAATTGTCTTTAAAATCATTTATCAATTTGTGAGATAATTGACAGAAAAACATATATTACTTTACAATACATACAGATCTGTACGATATATGACAATGAAATACATATTAATATTAAAATTCTTAATGTTTATTGTTTTATGAATCGACAGAATTTAATAGAGATTTAGTTCATGTATTTATTACCTGAATATTTATTTACTGGAATGTATACATAAATTAATGTTCATGTATAAAAATATATGTTTTAAATATATTTTAATCTCTAATCTATTATAAAAATATTTATTAAAATTTATAAAACACAAAACCTGGTAAAATAATTTTTAAATTATAAAATCAGCAAATATATATGATAATATCATATCATATTATGATATCATTGTTTATAATTAGTAATCGCAAATTTGCTTTACTTTATGTCTTAATAATTTGCATAATTTGAAATATTTAAGCAATAATAAGCAAATTATTTAATGATTGCAATCCAATGAATAGATATGAAAATCAATGCAATAAATGGCTTATAGTATAACTTATAGCACTTAACTTATATAACTTTACAATACTACAAAAATAAGTAATAGTTTTACAAAAAGACAAAGGTAATTTTAGCTGCATTTTAGAAATTTCATATTTTATAGAAAATTTAAAAATATTTTGATAATAAATAGTTATCGTGTTTTAATTGAGGGAACCGTTAGTTTAGTGACATTTTTGTAAAGTCTTTGCCAATCGGTTAATGAATCGTTGTTTACAAACACTGAATGTTGTTATGAACCGGATTTAAGCGGTTATTAAACGTAAACATAAAATTTATTTATTTTCCACAACAAAAATATTGTATCCTAGAATTGACTCCAAGATTGGGTGCTTTCAACTTAAAGATAGTTAATATTTAATAATACGATTGATGTCATAGAGATGTACACGAGTCATAACTAATAAGTATAATAAGTTATAATTAATAAGTTATTAATAATAAATATAGAAGAATTCTATCTTGCAATCTTGTTAGAATAAAAGTTCTTGGTGATTTATATAATTAAATTTTAAGTTTGTAGATTTCTCTATGTACTATAATGTAAATTTAGTATATTAAATCAGTTACAGATTATGATTGGTTTGGTCATAAAATTATAATTATATTACTGTAATAATAATTATTATTAACCATTATGCATTAACTTTAGTATTGCAGTAAAATTATTTTAAAAATATAATATATTATGTTTCACAATATGATAAAATGTGTGCTGTTTTGTAATCATAAGATTTAAATAATATTTATGGAAAACAAAACATTTCCATTAATAATAAATTTTATTTGAATTTTTATAAATATTGATTAATAAATTTGGAAAATATGTTTACAGTAATAAAAACACTATATTTATTTATTAAAAGTAAAAGTAAAGCTAAAGTTAGTACTCAATTAGAAATTAATAATATTACTCAAGAAATTAAATAAATTAAAAATTAAAACATATTTGCGGCAATGTTTATAAAATGCACTTTTGTTTAATACACTGTATTTTTATACTATATGTTTGCCACGCGTTTATTTGTGAACTGGAATGCAATGAACCGGGTATTTGACCGCAACCATACATATTACAAAACTAAAATATTAATTAAAACAAACAAAAACATTAAAACATATCCAATCCAATTGTTTTTGCGTGTGTGTAGGCGGTGGGGATGGGGGTTCGGGTGGGGCCGATGTGGGCCCGCGTGCGAGTCCAATGAACTTCACGGCCAACCCTCAGCTGTCGATGCGGTTGTGTATAGAGTCGGGCCAAAAGTGTGTCAATTCTAACGAGTGTTGCGCCCGTTTTTGCAATCCAGTCAACAATATGTGCACAAATTTGGTTCCGTAAAGAAATTGATGTTATATTTGTTTGCATTTTGTTTTTATAAATGTATTATATATTAAAATTAATGTTATTTATTATTTATTTATATTTGTTACAACTGAATTAAATTTAATTCGCAATCAGCAATGGTTTGCACAATCCTCATTAGTGATTTATTTTAAGTCAGTACCAAATTATGATAATTCTGATTATGAAATTACAATTATGAATTTGATTATTATTCATTAATTTTAGAACTATTAAAAAATTATTTAAAAAAATATTTGTTTTCCAAAATGATAAAATATGGTAGTTTTGTGATCGTAAAATTTAAATAATATTTATAGCAAAACAAAATATTTCCATTAAAAATATGTTTTATTTGAAGTTTTATAAATATTGATTAATAAATTTGAAGAACATTTTTACAATAATAAAACACATTATATTTATTTATTAAAATTGAAAGTAAAGCTATAGTTAGTATTTATTAAATACTATTTAATTAGATATTAATAATATTACTCAATTAAATAAATTAAAAATTAAAACATATTTGCGGCTATGTTTACAAAAATGCACTTTCGTTTAATACACTGTATTTCTATACTATATGTTTGCCACGCGTTTAATTGGGAACTGGAATGCAATGAACCGGGTATTTGACCGCAACCATACATATTACAAAACTAAAATATTAATTAAAACAAACAAAAACATTCAAACATATAATCAGGGCAGATTTGCGAAATGGATGACGACTGTTGTGCGGGTTATTGCGATTTGTCGGCCGGTTATTGGAGATCTCGGTGTGTCGGCGGTGGGGATGGGGGTAGGAGTGGGGCCGATGCGGGCCCGCGTTTGGGTCGCTCAATGAACTTCGCGGCCGCCCCTCAGCTGTCGATGCGGTTGTGTATAGAGTCGGGCCGAAAGTGTGTCTATTCTAACGAGTGTTGCGACCGTTTCTGCAATCCAGTCAACAATATGTGCACTTCTTTGGCTCCCTATAGAAATTGATGTCTTATTTGTTTGCATTTTGTTTTTATAATTGTATTATAAATTGTATATTAAAATTAATGTTATTTATTGTTTATTTATATTTGTTTATTAGAATACGGTTTACAAAATGTATTTTATTATTTTACATGTACTTTGATTTAATGTTTTGGTAAAGTGTGTTAACCTTTTAATACAGATTATCGTACAATGGATTAATTGTATAAATGTTTGTAAATTGGATTAGTATTATGAAATAATATCATAGAATAGTTTAGTATTAAATTGTGTCTACATTTTTCAAAAATAATTTTGCAATATATTTTTATTTACATAAAATTACCGGTAATTGCAATTAAACAAAAAATGAATTTAAGAGAGATAACTGTTAAAACTTGAGAGCAAAACAGACGTCTATATATTTTGTAAAGTTAAAAATATTTTATAAAAAATAATTATTTTGTTAATTCTATAAAGTTTAAAACTTTCGGGATAAATGTAATTTATATGCAGCATCTATTAATTATTTAATTATATACTATTATTAATATATGTTGTATTGAAATAATAATAAGAATTTTTATTTAAAAAAGATACAAAACAAGATAAAAATTATGTGACTATAAAGTGATAATACAATATCAATAGCCTATTGACAATTGAAAATTATATAATAAAAGGGGACAATTCATTCAAATGAGTTATTAGACTATTTATTCGATCAATGCTTATAAATACATCACAAAATCCATAGATCTATATATTATTGTATAAGAATTGCATTGAATTGATGTCACGTTTTAAAATATGTCCAATAATTAAAGCCATGGAAACCTCATATAAATGCAAAATATAATAATAAGTCTTGTCTATTAGAAAATATGGGCCAATAATGTTAATAATACTGTATTCTGAATAATACATAGTTTTATACTATGTTTTCGGTACGTAGCCCACAGCCCTGGCGTTTATGACCAGTGAGA